GCAAGACGGAAACAACATGGCGACTGTACTTACGAAGTGTACCCTCAAAGAACAACGTGCTGTTGTGTGGGTTTTTTAAAGGAGGGGGGGGGAGCAAAAGGGGTGCCAACAAAGCATTTTCGTAATAAAATGCTTCCTGTTAATGCTAACAAATGTGTATCGCGTAAAGCGGTGCATAGCTAGGTAGAATTTTTCTAAAGGACATTTATTGATGAGGTCCGATCTGGTCGTCCTGTTGAGATTGCAAAAGTCGCATCCGTCCAGTGGGTGGAATAATTGTTTAGAAGTGACAGACGAGTAACGGTTGACTCTGTAGCAGCTGCAATAGGGTGTTCACATGATTTTTGATCGACTAAGAACCCACCTTGGCGGGAGTTATTTTACGAATGACGCAAAAGTTGAATGTGACGTAAAAATATGGTTTAGAAAAAAGAGCACCCTGTTCTATGCAGCAGGTTTGGGAGGACTGATAAAAGGATGGGACAAGTCCATCAATGTTGGGGGAAATTATGTTGAAAAATAAAGGGACAGTGTAGGTGTAAAAAAAAAAAAAACGTTTTTCAAGATTTTATTGTCTAATATTTTTTTAAACAACCATTTGAGACTTACTTATTGACTTAGCCTCGTACTTTCTGCTATTAAATCTGTTTTCTCCATTAGATAATTCTTCCATCTTTAAAGGCATTTACTTCAGTTTTGTCTTATTGTTTATTTAAACACTTTTTTTTTTTTTTTTTGCTCTTACACATTTATCTCCGATTTCTTTGTGTATATTGTCATATATTCTCTTTTTATTGTTTTTATTTTGTGTACGCTTGTCCATCAACGTCAAGATTCCTTCAGTCATTTATTTATTATTAGCTTTTTGTTTCACTGCCGGTAATAATTCTTTGCTTTATTGTTAAAAGGGGTATTTTAGCGTTTGCCATTGCTCATTCATACTTTGGATTTTAGTTACTGCATTGTATCTGTTTTTCACAATCACTCTGTTCTTGAATTTCTGTATCCACTTGTAGGATATCTATTTTTTAGGTTTTATGTTTTTAATCTCTTTTTTTTTTCTCCTTACTTCAGTCTGATTTTTACTTATCCACAAACTGGGATGTGATCACTATTACGGTCGGGACCAGGCATTGTATTTACATTTATTGATGCATTTCCAAATCTTTTATTTATCATCATGTAGTCAATTTAGTTAAAAGATTTCTTATCAGGGCTTTTCCATGTGCAAAGTCGTCTCTTATGCTGTTTAAACCAGTTGTTTCAAATCCTCATATCATTTGCTTTCCCCCATTCCATTAGTGTTTTCCTCTGTCATTTCTCGTACTTAAAACATAATCACCAACTACGTCTTCCATTCTTTTTTCCCCCTATATTTACGTTGAAATCTCCAATTTATTAATTCATTTTCTTGTGATGTGGTTTGCGATAATGCTCTTTGGACATCATCATACAAACTTTGTAGTTCTTCTTCATTGCTGTCAGTCATTGGCGCAAATACTTGTATGATATTTACATCTGTTGGGTCACCTTTGAGTTTAACTAGGATGACTATATCCGATATTCTCCAGTAACCATCAATTTATTTAGTTGTTATTTGTCAAACATTAGTCTACTAGCCTTCTCCTCTTTCATGCTTCCCACCACCTGAATATATTATTGCTTTTGTTGTCACCAATTATTTTACCAGGTCCCATCTATCTCATCTCACTAATTCCTAGGATGTTGAGTTTAAATCTTTTTTTTTTTTCATCATTTCCTATAAGACATTGTCTGCTTTCTCTAATTCTCCTAATGTTCGAACATTAGAGGTTCCTAATCTAAATCTATTCGTTTTGCCGTCAGTAGTCTGATGACAGTCTGCTGTCACCTGTGGCACATGACAATCCCTACCGGACAAGGCTGTCCGAAGACATCCTTTAACGTCAATAACTGAATATGTGACTGTATGAATACTTGGAAAATTAGTGTGGTGGTTTCCCTTAGTATTCCACGTCTACGTGGAGGTCTTTTACCTCTAGCACCGACAGTAATTTCTGCCATATATTATCATATGTTTTTTTTTCTCCATTTTCCAGTAATATTATTTGATGCTACCTGGCTTATAACTAAAGGTTTCACGTTTGAACAAGAGATCAACATCATGGCACACGGGGAGAAACCCATAAGTGCTCCGTTCTTCTTATAACTAAAATCTGAGTCCAAAGAAGCACAGCACAGTGCACAGGCTTTGTAGCACCGGCGAGGATCGGGAAATACTTTGGGAGATTTTTAACTCTAAATTTTGCCCGGGCAGCACTGTCAGGGGCTTTTCGATTTTCAACTGCCAGGGGATTTTTTCACGTGCGCAACAATACACACGGGCGTCTGATTTCACTATCCAGAGACCAGGGGGAAGTACTAGAAGTTCAAGTCTACTTGAAAAAATCCCAGCCCTTACCGGGGATTAAACACGGAACCTCTAGCACACGAGGCGGACACCATGCCTCGAGACCTCGCA